TGTTTCTTGGAACGAAATTATTGCCAAATTAATGAATCGTTTATCGCGAATCGGGCTTTAGAAGTTCATCTCCAAAGCATACTTTGTTTAAGCAAGAAAAAGTCCTGTATTATTGTTACAGAATGTTTACAAATTGTTCAAAAATTCTTTTAGTGATTGTTATAATAGAGAGAATATTATTTCGAATTGCTTTAAATGTTAAAATAAGACTTATTAAAATGTTTCTTTTTCTCCTATTATTAGTTGAAAATTTCATACTACATAGGATTTTCCATAGCTCTTCAAAACATCTTTTAATTTATTTTTAAAATAAACATCTGTGTATTAATAAAGACTTATAATGCAACCAATAAGAATCACAGGATGAAAAACTGTTAAGAAGATGTAAAACACTTTAATTAATTTAATATTTTTGGCATAACAATATTTTAATATTTAATACGAAAGCGTATAGAAATTTATATAAAAACTAATTTACACGTCAACCACGATCTCAAATAAAGGCGAATTTAAAGAGGACTGGCTACAGTAAAGTGAAATTCGAAAAACATTGCTTTATTTTGAATGATTTCTAAATGCCTCTCCTCTAAGAAATAGGGTCTTTTCAAATACATTTTTTTTTTAGTTTTAATAGTAATGTCCTAGACCAGATTTTCGAAAGTTAAGGGAACAACTTAAGCGAAAGCATTGTTTTGGTGCCACACGTGATCACACATGAAAATTTTTTGGTCTCAAAGTATAAAGATCGGGTTAGTAGTTTCATCACATTTTGCGGATTTGTTCAATCTATGTATTCCAAATTGCATTGAGTTTTAATGATTTAATAAAGGAATGTGAAACAAACTATCTGTTCTTGAAGCGACTTTAAAGCAATCACTACATATTTACAAATTGGATTTTACGACATTTAATTCAAAGAAAACAGTTAAACTTATATATTCTCCAACACAGATGGACTTCAAAGTGATAAAACAGAACACAATTTTACACTAAACGGTTCACTTCCTAAAGTGTATACTATGGAGAATATTTTTTTCATTTTAATTTGTGACAACCGATTTAAAGAAGCATAGCTATGTTATACACATAAATAAAATTATGACATTACGTTTTAACATAATCCCTTGCAAATCATAAACTTGGAAATTTTTACAAATTTCTCCTTTCCAAGTTAAAATATTTTTTTTAAATAAAGACAAGAAACATTTATAGTTTTGGAAAGGAATGTTCATAAAATACAAAATGCATTTAATATGTTCTTATCTTATGCAGCATAATAATAAGAAGTAAATGAATGGTTATGATGGATGAAAGAAGTTTATAAAGTAAAGGATGCTATAAATTGTTGACAAAAATGCGGTTATTTTTGTATCATTGAGATTTTTATAAAAAATAAATTTTTATGTTGTTTTTGAATTTGTACTCCATTTTAAGTTGGTTTTTACATTTCGAGTAGCGTAAACGTATCGTGGGAAAATTAAACCAATTAAATGAAGTGCAAAATGATTGATTATTTTTATGTTCATAAGTTTGTTTTTTAAAATTAAGAAATTTATACTTACAGTTTTGCAAGAATAGAGTGACTCGGAATTCAGAGTTGGGGAAAATATGGCTTAACACTGGGAGCAATAGGTGAAGGCGGTACAAAGTTAGAATCGCCGCAGCTGTTTAAGTCGTCAGCAAACTGCCATCTAGAATAGAATATTTTTTAAAACAAATTGAATAAACTGGGGGACAGAGAGAACAATAGGAGAACTTACACTTTTTTCCTATGTTCGTTCATTTCTACCCTTCAAATATGAAACAGATTCTGGATCGCTATCGAGGAATTAGATCAAATAGTCAATATCATTTCTCACTCTTAATTTATTTGCCCGAAACGACTCCTGATTTTTGATATATTTTAGAATGTTAGTATGTTAACTTGATGGTTTGATAAAAAAAAAAACTATTCCTCTATCATAGAAAGGCGTATAATAAATAAATATTTTTTATGAACTTCGATCCCGAAATTTAAATTTAAATATTTTTTTTCTTTTTTTTTAAAGAATTTATACATTGAAATATGAAAGAAAAAACACAAATCTCTCTTGAGAGCCATAAAGAGTTTTTATTTTTTGAAAGAAAAAAAATAATTGTGTAAGAATATGGAAAAAACTTTTTGTAAATTTTCCTTTTGACTAACACACACTTATGATTATAGGCTATGGCTACCAAAGGACAATGATATTGGTAAATAAAACAATAATAACCTTGATCTTAAATTTTAAATATGAGCTGAGATAAATTGGTTTTATTTTCCTTATTTTTTAAAACTTTAGATTAACTTTTTATAAAGGAATGTTATTTTGGATCAATTTTTTTTTGTTTGTGCGAATTTAGATATCTACATTTGATAGAGGCTCGATTTATTAGATGCTCGGGGATCGGAATCTTTAAAATTGAAACTCTTACGAGTAAGAGTTTCGAAGTTCTACTCTTTAATTTGTTTGATATAACTTTAATTTTTAAAAACAATGACATAATCTTGGTTCCGATGCAAAACAGTCACATAAAATTTTTATTCTTAAAATATTTTATTTAAAATTCACTATAGGAAACTGATAATGTTAAGTACATTAAAATTTTATGCTTTTATTGTTTTTTCAATTATAAATTTATTGTTTTTTTTTGTTGAAGAAATTCAAATATTTATTATATTGCACGTTTTGCATATATATGTACATACAATCAAAACTACTAGCTTTAATATTCAACATATTGGATGTAATTTTTTTTTTTCATAAATTATATTTAAATTCGACCTGTGGAAATTGATGTCCTTTAGAGAAAGAAAAAAGAAAAACAAAAATTCAATTTTATATTTTGATTTAATTTTGATATTTTTACGTACATACATACTTATAAATTGTATACCATTTATGTGGCCGTAAATCTTTTTATAACACAATAAAAAGGGTAATAATTATTATTATAATATTTTCCTATACATATTGTATAACAGGTCCTTTACTTCCTATACATATATATATTCGAGTACGTGTGTATATATTTAATATTTTATTTATTTTTATTATTATTTTGATCGGGTTATAATATATACTGCGTGCTTACGTTTTAATAGTTATAAATAGATGATTCTTATGTAGATATAATTTATTATAACACAAGTTTAATTCTTAAACGGTTTTTTCAGATTGAAGTTATAAATTATATTAAAGTTATTTTATAGAATATACATTATATTGCTAAAGGCCACACCAAAAGTCATAAAATGTGTCCTTGTCCATAGCAGAAATCAATGAAATTGTATGAAAATACAGTTATAACATAGTACGTTATGATCAATAACTTAGAGTTTGACCTAAATCTTTGACCGAAAATGATTACTATTTTCTTATATTAAATTACTATTTTCTTATACGCTCGAATACAACCGATCATAACCTTACCTAACATATTACTAATATGTAGATATTTATTATTTCATTATTGATGGATACAGCTTTAAAGGATAACATTTAAACATTTTGGGGAAAAGATTTATTTTATTTTAATTTAATTGATTTTTAATATTATTTTATTCAAATTATGCCAAAATAAAACACATGTTTGATTCCACTGCAACATGCTTGATTCTTATATAACATGTTTGATTTATTTAATACGAACTAAAGATACAAAAATAACAAAATTGAACTAAAAAATGTTTTTTCTTTTCTGTCGTTACACTCTGTAAGTGCTAAAAGCAGGGTGAAAAAAACTATAGACTGACTAAGTAAATATCGTATACATATCTAGGTGGCAATAATAAAAATGTTCGAGGGTTTTAAGTCTTTAATACAATTTTATTAAAAAAAAAAAACAGCAATCCTTATCAAATAAACACAAAGTAAAAAAAAAAAAAAGCAAAAAAACCAGAAATAAGAGAAAATTTCTGTGTACAAATTTTCTTGGTAATTTTAACCCATTTTTTTTGTAACATTTTCATAAATAATAAAGTTTTGAATAAATTTTCATTTTTGTGGTTGTATTTTTTCGGTTTTCTGTTGGGTGGCTGAAAATGAAATTTATGAGAATCAAAGAAACGAGAAAAAAATCATTTTTGTTTTTTATTTCCTTTTTTTTTTTTTACTTATCCTTAAATGCATTTCTCATATAATTTTATATTTATATGTGTCGCATATTATTTGAATTATATTTTCACTCTTCCTCACTATATTATAATTATTATACTATAGGTTTATGACATACATAAGCATGTATATTTGTAGAAATATATAAAGAAAAAAAATTACGAATATGTTCAACTTAAATTCCAAATATAATAAATTTTATCATTAAATTTGTGTTCATTTTTAAAAGGATGCTGCGTTTTTCTTCCACATTTTTTTATAATAATGTTTATATTTTATTTTTATATTTTGTGTGTATTTGAGTCAGTAGTTTTATTGCTTGTAAATAAAAAAAAATAAAAAAAAAAAACACCGACAATTGTTAATTGGGTTGACATTGGTTGTTTTTATTTATACGAATACAACAAAAAACGCGGGAGTGATAAAGAAATGTTACTATGCTTTTAATTTCGGGTGAATGCCATAAACACAGAGGTTAATTGCGAATACGAATATTGATAATTTGATTATGAAAAAGAGAAAAATATAGATTTTTTTTTCTGGTTTTTATTGACATATGCATTTAATGCCAGAAGTTCTTTATTATTTCCCTGTCAGAATTTTATGCATTCAGTAATAATTCTAATAGTAAAATAATAATAAATAAATTTTTATGTTAATTAAAAACGACACATTGAAAGAACTCTTTTTTATGGAAACCTAGGAAATTGTGAACGAATATATTGAACTTAATTTTTTTCTTTTATTAATTGATATTTTTAAGGAATAATGTTAACAATTTTTTTTATTTTTTTAGATGAACGAAATCTCATTTAAGTTTTGGATTCAATTAAGTTTTGGTTCCTTGAGATATTATGGAAGATAACTTTGCCTGTTTGCAAAGGATTAAAAAAATAGTGAAGAATTAAGAATTTCTTTCCAACTTTTCAGTATCATCTCGATCAAGATTATTCCAACAGAGATCAAAGAATAATTTTTTAATTTTTTATAGTATCTAGAAAAATTTTTCCCCGTACAAATAAAAAGGTAAATATTGTTATATAAATATGTTTTAATCCTTGTATCAGCCATTTTTCAGTATTTAAAGAAAACCAAATCTTTAATTATTAGAAGATTTTGGTATCAAAAGAGCATTACCCTTTTTATATTCGAATGTTATTTTACAACATTACATATGTGTGTATTATATATAGTTCTATTGACATTTCTTCCAACAATTTTTTTTTTGAAAATTCTAAAAATTTTTATTAAGAAAGTAAAAAAGATCAAGTAAATAAAAAATACATATTTAATGAAAGAAAAGTTTTATGACAAATTTCAAAATAATCTTCAGTTTATGAATTTATTTCCTTTCAAATGTAAATATTATATAAAATCATATAAGCGTACATACATATTATATTTATTTAGTTTATATAAAGGGTTATGAAGTGTTATCATAATAAATTCTTAAATACTTACAAAAAAATTCTCTTAAAAAAATGGAATATTTATCTCTATTTAATTCGTTTTGAAAGCATTATAGTACAAGTGTGTTCTATGAACTTATTTTTAGCTTATTCAAAAAAAAAAATTTAAAACTAATAAAAAATTTGCTTATTTCTTTTAGTTTTGCTGTCAATTTTACCATCGAAATGAAAATTGGGAACGAAGTTAAATTATAATAAAAATTCTCCATATTTCGGTATTTGTGCTACCAGTATACGATAAAATAAACGAGGAGAACAGTTAAGTCAAGATTAAAGAGTCAGTTAAATTTTGTTTTAACTTGAGAATTCGAACTAAATAGTTCAGGAGTTTTAAGTCAGTGGTGGCAATACTTATATGAAATAGTGAAACAAGCTATACAGCAAAAGATAAGTAAAGTTTAGATGTTGTAAAAGGTTTTATTTTTCGATACAGGAGATAAATGAACGATAACGCAATAAGTGAGATTCGCCAATAGGTATTGGGAAGGAAAAATAACTTTTTAGCCAACCTTATATAAATTTCGAATTTCTCATCTATACCTTCTAACATTCATAAAGAAGAAAATTTATCGTATACAAAAGGAAAATGAAGGAAATTAAAAAAATAGACGAAAAAAACAAGAACTTTAAGGATAATACACAAAAATATTTTAATGCTTGTACTTAGCATCTTTCTCAATCAATTAGAAAATCTACCATTTGGCTGGACTGGTGGTTATTATTTTCTTTGCGCAATTTATTATTATTTATGCACACAATCATGCATATTGTGTTCACTTAAAAAAGTATTCAAAGGGTGTTATAATAATATGTAATCATGCAGTTACTATTTAATATTGTTTTTAGATAGAAAAAATAATAATTTTAATATCTAAAGTTATTCACATATATTTACCCCTTTTATCAAGTAAGTAATTTTCAATGTAAAATTAGTTCAAATATTAAATTTAGATTTAAGTATAAATAAGAAGCAGTATGCTGTACAAGAAAATTTCACTGAGTATGGATAAAATATTGTTTTAGGTTTTAGTATAATACAAAAAGATGAAAAAGTTTGAATCTATAATTAAATGAACTATAAGAAATTTTTTACTTATATATAGTTAGTATTTTTTACTATAACGTATGTAGATAAAATGTAGGTCAGGTGTAAAGTACAATAGTGTTGAAAATTAGGTATGGCTAAGAGTTATGTGTAACTCTTTGCTATGAAAATTTTTCACTTGTTTTAAAACGGCAAACTAGTTTTCTCTTTAATTAGTAAATTGTATCACCCTATTTTAATTCTTTTACTAAAAATTACGATTTCCTTGATTGTATTGTCTTTATTATTTAAATATTTTAATTAAAATTACTGAAATATTAATATTTTAATTATAAATAATTGAAAAAATTAATACTCGTATTTTTCAATTTATATTAAAATGCAATTTCTTAAAAATTTTAATATAATTATGAAAAATGCATATTTGTTTGCTTAAAATATTTTGAATTAAAATTTAATATAAACACATATTTACATACATACTTGTAATGTACTTACTATATGAATTTTCTTTTATTTTTTCCATAATTCATATTATTCTATAAAACACTAACAATATAATATAATTATAAAAGGAATTATAAATTCAAACAAAAGTAAATTGTAAGAAAATAATCTTAATCGAAATTTTGAGTTTTGCTTCTTATGATTCAAACAAAAAAAGAAATCCTCATTCCAATTATTTTTATTCGGTAGTTTCTCTTCATTAATCCTGTGATAAAAGATAAGATTTTATCTCTACGTGCAGAGGTTGATAACTGATAATTTTTAAAATAAAACATAATAATTAGATTTGGCTTGAAAATGTATTTTTCGGTGTGTAGACTTAAATATGTAATATTAATACATAATTGCTGTGTGGGTTTAAACTAGTAATTAAAGACTTCAGTAACTTTTAATTTTTATGTATGATATATGTGCTGTCGATATGTTTAATTTGTGAATTTTAAAATATGAAACGTAGAACATTGACTTCGTTTTTTGTGTATGAAATAAAATATTTGAAAGAGCACAATTATGTTCCTTTTTGAATGTGCATATAAGCAAAATACTACACCACGTACTTATACTATTGAATATCAATGTTTAATATATCTGGAAAATTTCTTACATGTTTACCACCCACAGATTTCCTGATTTTAAATAAAATGTTAGAAAACCATGTTACCTGGAGGCTTTTTTTGATACATATTTTATTCGTTTTATAGAAGTGGTTAGAGTATGTTATGTAAAGAAACAAATAAGAAATTCTTTTGATTCCAATAATTCAGCAATATATTTGTTTAATACAAATTCTTAATAATAAATGTTTTATTTGCAAAGGTAAATGAAATATTGAGAAAACATTCTAGTTTTAATAACTTATTTGTCGTTCTTAAATCATTTGTTCCGTTCAGGAATAACTTAATTTTGGATTTGTACGTTAATTTTGGATTTGTATCCAAATATTTTATCAATTTTATATAATTTGATAAAAATTACAATTCCACTTCCTTCGATTTATTTCTGTTTTAAAACCATAGAACTGCATTGCTTTTATTTTTAAATAAAAAAGTTTGGAGTTTTGCAATTTTGCAGTTTTAAATTAATTTTTCAGCGTAAAATATTTAACAACGTCAAGCTGTACCATCATAATCGAAGTATGCCTGATATTCTCTTATAGCGTTTTATGCGCTTATCAAAATTATAATAAAAAAAAACGAAAAATATATAAGAATTTTAAATGAATTGAAAGCAAAAAAATTTTATTCGCAACAAAAAAAAACTATTGCTGCACAGAGAGAAAAATTAATTTAAAATTTTTTTTTCTTTTTAAGAGAGAAAAAGTTAAAAATATATAAAAAATTCATTGAAAGAAAATAACATCATTTTCAATGCATAACTAATTTATAATTTTGCCGAGAAAATTTTAATTATTTAAAAAATTTTGTTTTTGTTGATTATAAAATGTGTACATAAAATGAAAAACAAAAGCTTAAATCTAATTTTCTTTTTTAACACGCTCGAAAAATATTTTGAAAAGCATTTCTCTATGTTCTCTATGTTATTTAAGAAAAGTATCATCCCTATTTCAACATAGCTATAGATACAAAATTTAATTTTCTTATTAAATTTTCTTTTCAAGAAAAATAAAATGCCTCAAGGATACTGTGTAGAAAATTATTGTATTTGTAAATTTTTTTACTTTATATAAAATTTTTAAGGTTTCTGTAGTTGTTTTCATGTTTTTTTTTTGGTTACGCATAATTTCACTTTATTTTTCCTGGTTTTTCTTTACTATTTTACATTATTATTTGAATGTTAGAACATTAAGGTATGCGATTGTAGGTTCGTTTACTGTTGTCTTTAACTTAGAATGAAATTTTTTAAATTTAATAAATGCTTAAACAGATTCAGAAGAAGACAGTAAGAAATAATAAATTTGTAAAAAATAAATTGTTTTCCGAATTGAAGGTATTTTATCATGAATGGCTTTATAAAAATTGATATTGAAAATAATTTATCTGTAATTGGTTGACCTAACGTTGCATAACTAGAAAACTTTCTTCTAGTAAGTTTTATAAAATCATATAAATAACGATTAAGCATTGTTTTTTTGGAAAACTTTCTAAACTAGGTTGTGTATTAAACAACTTGTTTCTTATACAAATTCTATTTAAAAATTTTTAAATTGATTCAACACGATGATTTGAATGTATCGTCCATATCGGCCTTTGGAATCTTCAAAAAATTCTGTATATATTATATACACATATTTTCAAATATTTATATATGTATGATATAATATTCAGTGTACAGGATTAAAGATTATTATAAAGGTGTTTTAGAGGTTCAGAAGTTAAAATTAATATATTATCGAATATTAAAATTATTATTTTAAAATGTTAAACAATTTTTTGCACGTTCTTTGTTTCATTACAGTTTAAAAAAAACTTTTTTTTAAATAATAGCTATTTCTAAATTTTCATAGAAAAATTTTCTGTGTTAATATTTTATGTAACATTTTATATATATTTCCTTTAATAATGAAAAAAAACTATAATTAATTAATATGAGAACACCCTTTTATATGTGTGACCTACATTGCAAACAATACGAAAATGTTGCACATCAAACGGATACTGGACTACATTTAATTAGGTGTTTTCAATGTACATCCGTATTCATAGAATCAAAAATATGATATAATTGAAATAAAATCATAAATAAGCTTATTATTTTTTTTAATTAAATGAAAGTTTAATGAATGGTATTAGAAGAATTGAAAATATTAATTTATTATTAATAATTATTTAAATTTGTAATATTATGAGATATTTTTTATTATAAATATTTAATAGAAAATAGAAAATTATTCTTAGAGAAGAAACTCAAAAACTGTGAGAATAAAGTAGAAAAAGACTATTAAATAAATTAAATTTTTTTATGAAAACGAAATGTAAAATCATTCAAAAGTTAAAATAAAAATGAATGAGAATAGGAAAAGTTTATCGTGTTCCTGTTGTAATGCTTATACATATATGATTAGTTTGTTCTGACGAACACCAATATATACTGAGTGTGTGGCAAGTTTTGTGAAAATCGGTAATTACTTCTTGGATTATCGATGGAACGAAAAACAAAACTCAAACAAACATAGCTATTAATTGACTCAGAGTTTGACACTGGGCAAGAATAAATATATATAGCATTCTACATGAATGAAGAAATGTAATAAAATTTTCATTAAATAGCATAAAAATAGATTTAACCTCAAAAATTAAAAGTAAATCAATAAAAAACTTCCTGAAATATCTGCATATTTATGCAAATAAAGTTGTATAAATTATTTTTCAAATTTCACGACAAAATAAATAATCACAACACTTTATTTATTTTAATTAGACCTCCTTTTATTTATTAAATAAAAAGAAACCGATTAACGTAAAATTTTCCAATCGAAAGTAACAAATATTTATTGTGTAAACATCTAAATTTCATTTTAGTTTTCTGGATGATGATTTGAAAGGGGAATGTAAAAAATTGAAAATTGTAAATCATATTATCCTTTGATTGTGTATGAAGATTTGTTCTCATACAATGTACATACTCTCTTAACATAATTACGTTTTACTTTTTCACAAACTTCGTTGTGTTTACATAGGTACATACAAGTATATATATAGATTCAATAGAAGCGTTAATTCAATAGATGTTGATTCCACTTGGTAATTATAGTTTTCCAAAATGCAATCGCTACTAAGTTTTCCACTCTTTGATTGAAAATCAGTCTTTGTCTACATATATAATATAAGTACACATAATATGTCTACATACATTACGAAGATGATAGGATCTCTCGTGATTTCATAAGGCCCCTTCATTTAATATGATTACCTCTAACGAGTATATGATCAAATTCTATTCTATTGACCAATTTACTTTTTCTATTGATTACATTACGATATGGCCATTTATGTACCTACATACATACATAAAAATAAAATTTGAATACCTACAATATACTAAAAAAAATATCCTCTTAACTTTTTGCCATATGACAAATAAATTTTTTATTTATTTTCTTAATTTTTTATACATTCTCCAAAATACTTTTTTTCCAATTTAATGATTGATTATCTTTTCGGATTTGAATAAAGATTCTATATAGAGTAAACAAAAAATAAACACCTATTTAATAGCAATTTTTCAAATATCTTTTTTTTAGTTTGTTTCTTTTTTTTAAGGGAAATTCTGATTTTTTATGTAAATATGTAGGTATTTATTTTTTATCCTTTAAAAATGTTGTGTTCCAAAAGAGAAAAGCATTGAATATTTTAATATTTAAACAATCAATTTTATATGCGGACATCCAACAAGAAAATCTGGGCTTTAATTTTTTTTATAACATTATTTAAATTGCGACTTCAATATATTAAAACAAAAAACAAAAAAAGAAGAAGTAATAGGGCTATCTATGTTTAACATGAACTTAGGGTCGTAAGAGGATTATTTGCATATAATGACAGAGGCTTTAAACGGTAACAATGAAAAATTATTTTGTTGCCTTTTTTTTTTGAAGGATATTGTTTATACTCATAATGTTCGTTAATATTAAAAATCGGAGAAAATTAGTATATAGAGAAATTGTATGTATGGCACATAAAATCAATATTGAAAATCAAATTGTTGTGAAAATGCTAAATTCTTGTTGTAATATTAGTCATTGTTTTTTTTTGTCATATGTAGTCGGTTTTAAATAAATAAGAAAATAGTATTTTTATAAAAAAAAACCCTGTAAAAACGAAAACGATGCAAATTAATTGAAAAAGTAATGAACTGCTCGGTTTTGTAAATGACGATTAATTTGGACGACAATCCGTTTTATTTTTAATTTTCTCGATGTAACCGCAAATTTCGACTCTGATCGAGTTAATTCATACCAATTTGAAAAAAATTTGGTTTGATACAATAATTTTGGGCAATTTTAGTAGGTCTTTACCACTTTATACTAGCATTCGACTGGATTTCTAAAAGTGTGTATTTGTCAAATTTAAAAGTAGAAAATTCTCTCTACAATTTTATATTCTGCATTTTAAAGAATAGTGTGGATGCCGATACCTAGTATCAGAATAATTGTTGTCGCCGATATGTTTTAAATGCATTAAGCGCGAATATCAATCATTAATTTAATTTTTTTTATATATATTTTTCCACTATATTGTGTTAATATAAATATGTCGTCAAGTTATAAAAAATTTAACAATTTTTATTTTTAGGACAATTTTATAATTTATTGGAAAAAATAGATCCTCAAAAGGGACATTAAATTTTCTTGATTTCAATTTAATTTTTTTAAATTAAAACATTCGTAGTATACGGACAACCCTAATTGAAAATAAAATCTTGGTTAGTATATAACATCTATAGACCGTCTTTAAAATTTTGCAAAACAGAAAACGAAATGGCTTTGAATGATTAATTGTTAATTTGCAACAAAACAAAATAGTATGAAAATTTTATATTTGATGTTCCTCTTACATTTCTTTTCATAACGTTTAAAGGATAATTAAAATTTGGGAACGAAAAAGTAATGTGGTAACTGCGGTTTCTATAAAAAAAAATTAAAATAAAAAGGTCACCACAATCTAACCTGTTAAAATCAGTTGAAATTCACAATTGGCTTATTTTATTTTAAAAAAATGTAAAATGGGAAAGCAAACAAGTGAATTTAAAATTTTTTTTTATGTGTTTTTATATTTTGAGATTAAATTTTAAGTAATTTTTATCCTTAATATTTTTGTGTAAGTAATGATTTTAAATTTAATTTTTAACAAACAAACTTATAACAATGTTTAAACATACAACTATTAATAAACTATATACATATCTAGTTTAGTTGAGCTTCCTATATATGCGACCAATGCTAGAAATTTATCAATACGAGAAAATTTAAGATATTTAAGCTTTTGTTTTATTTTTCATTTTAGTTTTACGAGTATAACGACAGAAGTTCGTTTATTGGAGCATGATACCAACATTACATGTGTTTTTTTACAAACCCAACCTGGTATCAATTGGCTGCCGATTTATACTTAACGGGAATTGCAAACTGCGTTTTATTTACAAAATTTGAAACTGGCTGAGAATTTCTTGCTGTGAAACATTTGGGAAAAGATGGTTAGTTAGATGATATATGTACTGGTATCTTCGAAAATTTTGGAACTAGCTTTTATACAGATCTATAATTTATGTACTTTAAGCTTTAGATTAAATATACCTAAATATTTTATATCCCCTGCTTTCTGAACTACTCTGAGTTTGTTTGAACACCTTATTTAATTTTTAAAAAAAGAAAAAACAGTTTTACAGAAATCTTATGATTAGTCGTAAAGTATAATTCGTTTAATTATAAACATACTCACAAACTTTATCTATAATGTGTTTAAGTTGAAATGATTATTCCCCCTTTTATCATATTCTATTATATACCGCAAATAAATGTTAATAAAGCGTTTGTGTGTATGTAGAATTATAAGGACATAACGTACATGTTATAAATAGAAATTCGGCAGGGTTAAACTGCTGCTTATTGTTATTCTGTAATAGTTTATGTATTAGCTACTTATATATGATCATATATTACATATTATCCTAATAGTTATTATAACAAGCGTCATGTATTGAGTGTGTGATATAAAATTTTATTTTGAATGTTGTAAGAGAATAATTTTTATTGGCAAGGATATAATCCCTTTAAGTTTTGTTTTGCTCCATTATGATGTTTAGTTTAATCAAAGATAAAAATATCACTATTGATTTTAGCAAAGTCGATATACAGAGATGTACATACATACATAAATATAATTACGAGGCATATAGACATATTTTTCATTGGTTTGAACAACTTTAATGTGTTCGTATCTGTAGATAATTTTTTTCTTATTTCCGTTTTAGACATCAGGATTTGAGAAAATAATCAGTTTTAGAAGTTAATTTTTATTTTCATTCACTGTCGACTACTTTACGCACTGATCATCAGTTTAATTCATTTGAACACATGAGTTTGTCTATAACTATAATTAGGAAAGAATAGTTCAGAGATCTTTAAAGTGATTAAGTTAGACTACCAAATTTGGAAACTAATTGTAATATTGTAACTTATGCACGGATTATATCAAAATAGATTTTACAAAATGTAATTAAAAAAACTTAATGTAAAATTTAATTACAATGTTAATATTTTAGTTGACACTTGTACATTGTTAAAAGCTTTTGAGTGATAAAATATTAAAGTACCCCATATTTGTTATTGTTATTAATTATTATTTTTCTACAATTTGAAATCAAAAATTTTTTGATTGTTTTGAATATTCAATTTACTATTAGGCGCTTGAACATTCAATTTTTTTTTCAATTTTAAAATAAATAAATATAAAAAAAAACTTGAGTTCATATAATTATAATAACATTTTCGTTTCGAAGAAGTGCGGCGCTCCTCTCTGTTCTGTATATCGTGTATAAATTCTACAAGCACGTAACTATTCGAACGAGAGACAGCGTCACATCATTTTAACTAAACATATTACAACAAAAATGTTATCATTGAGAATACAGAGTAATAACCGTATAATTTGAGAAAAAAGAGAAAACTTTAAAATTGATTTTTTTTTTTGTTACATAAATTTTTTTTCCCTCAACCAAATTAAAATCCAATACAACACATAGCTTTTATTTATGGTATCAAAGCCTATTATAAAGCATTGTAAATAAAAAAAAAATTATGAAAATATTGTGAGAAATTTACTTTTCACTTCAATGCCAGATAATTTGAATTTTTCAATTAATAATATTTATGTTTGTATGTACTTACATATACATTAGAAATTTTAAGAGACAAAGAAAGAAAAAATAATAATCCGCTGGCATGTCTTTTACCATTATGTTATTAAAGTGATATTATTTATGTTTGTGTATGATGTTTTATAGGTTATTCGTAACTGTTTTGATATTACAAAATTTTTAGAAAAATTAATTTTTATTCACTTTGATTATATTCAATCAAAGAACATCACTTTGTGGTTTAATGTTATTTAAATAAATATTTATACAAATTTCAATAAGACTTTCCCCAAACTTATTTTTTTATGTTAATTTTTTTTTTTATGTTTGAAAAATAAATAAAAATTTAATTTTTGATCTTAAAGATATGCTTGTAATGACAATATTTGTAATTTATTATGATGTGAAGAAATTTAGAAACAAAATTAAGAAGAAAAAAATGTAATTGAATCAATTTGAATTTTAGGAAAAATTATTTTCTGTAATTTTAATGCAATGTCATGATCGAGGCTTGAAAAAATGAGGTATAAAAAAAAATTAACTTAAAAATGAAATTAATTAATTACAATATCAAAATTTTAGATTTATTTGAACGTTTGTACGTTATAAATATTATATTTGTACGTGGAACACAATTATCATTCACTATTTCAAATGAAAATCATTTCATTTGAAATGATTTCAAATGAAAGTAGATTTAATTTTACTTTTATAGTACAGTATTAAATTAGTGCAGATATAAAAATATTTTGATCCAAATTCTTAAATGTAATATATTTTTATACAATTTCGAATGACCCTCGATAAGATATGTTTAGTAGACGTATTAGTATACACAATTTCAAATAGTTTTCTGGTTTTTATAACTATCTTTCGAACATGTTGCATTCAAAACGTTTAAACATGTTGCATTCAAAAATATTGTATTCGGACCAAAAGAATTTATGTATGTACTAACTAACTACTGTTATACTCGTTCGGTAACATACTAAATTCTTATTTTTCCTAATAGTCAAAGAATTCACCTTAAATTGTTGAGTTGACTTTAAAGAAATCTGATTAAATTTCTTAAAAGAAATTTTGTGAACTTTGTGTACAAAGTTCGGAAAGTTTTAGTTTTTAAAAAATCTTGAATTTTATTTGAATATAAAGAAAATACGTTTTTATCTAAATACTCTATTTTCATGGAAATGTTTTCCATATAAAATAATTTTCTTTTGTAATTTTTGTTTTAGTTTAAATTAGGTCTTTTATACTTAAAATTAATTTCAAGGAAACAAAAAATCCAATAGTTTATATTCTTTTGATTCCCATTATTTTTGTACATTTTTATTTTTATATTAAAAATAAAAAAAAAATTAAAAGTTTTATAGACGTTAAATGATAAGAAGAGAAAATATTAAGGATTAATGAAAGAAAATTAAATCAATTTCTTTCCCATACCCATCTGATAGCAGATAAGCTAAAATGATGTAAAGAAAAGTTATTTTTTTGCGGCTTATAACAGATTTGAAGTGTAATGTATACACATATGTCCATGTAAATATATATATTTTGGTGTGTAAATAAAAAAAAATTGTGAGATAATAGAGAGATTTTATTGAAATGTGGGAGTTTTCATACTATTAAAAAATTCTTGTGTCCACTAAAGAGTAAGGAGTTTAAATAAATTGCTTTTCAATCAGACACTTTGAAATTTGGTCTTAGATATTTTAAATAAACTGTGTGCCAGCATTTTCATATTTTCTATATTTTCTAAATAAATAGCGTTCCCAACAATTTTTTTTCTTTTTTTGTAGATTAATCAATTAAATTACTTAAGATGAAAACTTGCTTAAGTGCTATCATTGTTATTATGCCTAAAATATATAAATTTCATTTTCAATTTCATCTATACTATCACAATATTATTTCCGACGAAAATTCACGTATCCAAATCCATGTGCCATTTTTATGTGTATAAGTTTCAACAGAAATCTTTGATTGATTAATTTTCTTTAAAGTTTTTTCTAAAAAAAAAAACATTTACTATATTGCGTTGATATTCAAATGTAAATATGTTTTTTTTTATGTAGTTATCACACAAAATTTCATTGGGCTTAATAAGATTAAAAGAAATTTTCTATCGGTCAATGTTTTTATAAATAAATCATTAATCATAATACTAAGGGCTCTTAGGGAAGAAATTTTTATAAGGATTTTTTTTATAGTTCTTACACGGAGAAAGTTATATATTTTATGGATGAGTGTATGTATGAGAGGGTACACAAGTTCAATGTTAATATCATTAATAAAAAAAATATTAAATTATTGAATAATTTCGATTTTTGTAAAAATATTTGAAAAAAATTATAATATTTTTGAAATATTTGGTAAATATTTGAAACTGCTTGACGCACTCTGAAGCTTTTGTTTTTCTCTTGAAATTCTTCAAAGTTAATGTTCTTTATTTGAATTTTTAATGCTAATATTTATAAATTTTTTCCATTCTACAAGAATCTTATACATAAGATTTAATAACAAAAAAAAATTTTAAATAATATTTGACATGAATAAATTTTTGTAAATTCAATTTGCGGTTTTGGAAAAGGGAAATAATTACTCGTATTTACACTTAAAAATCTCAAATAAATTTAAAAAATTTGAAATTTAAATCTTTTGAAATCGTCAGCTACTTTTACATATTATGATTCAGAGCTCTGTTACACATGTTTAAATAATATTATGTATGCCAAAAAAGAAAAGAAAAACCGGAATAACATATTGTAATATTGAATAAGGATAAATCAATAAAAGACAGAAAAAAAAAACAATTTCAACTTAAGAAAAATAATCGCTTCAAAAATTATAATATTATGTAAACCTTATATACAAATTGTGAACCGAAAAAAGGTCATACAAAATTTTTTAAAGGTGCATCATCACCGTATATATAGTATGCATATTACATAAGTAAACGGCAGCTGTTTGATTCCACAAATGAAAAGATAAAATGCAAAAAAAGACAAGAAGATGAAAACAAAACACTGGAAAAACAACACACACAAGTATAATTATCACATATAGAGAGAATAAATCTGTGGAATTCAGGTATGAATTCACAAGTTAATTGCATATTTAATTTGTTTTTTTTACTTTTAACGAAAGTCAAAGGTCCCAAGTTGATTTTTAATTTAATTTGTATTTGTATATATGCAGAAAATCATTCTTTTTATTCTTGATACGAGCCAATTGGTATTTGCAAATTAATTTCGTATAAATATATTGTATGTATGTAGGTATTTCTTTTTTTAAAGATTTTCATAAAATCGAAAGGTATATAATTTAATTAAAGGTCAGTTTTTATGTCATCATACAGAAAACTGATTTTATAATGTTGTATCCATTTCTTGGAAACACAAAAATGTAAGTGATAAATCCTATATCATCGCAATTATCAACTTCATTCATTTAAAGAAAAATAATTGCGCTTTTGTAATTTTGAAAATTTTATCAAAGCATCATCAATTTTCATTCAACAAATTTCCTCCAATCAAGTTAATGAATTTTAAATTTTTTCAATGTCCATTTCAAAAATTTCACCTCAACACTCAATTTGTATATCATTCACATTTCTTTATTAATCAAAATTTTACAATTCACCGAACATGATAATGCAACTGCGGTCTAAAAAATTTTTAAACGAAATCACACTTTTCATTTACAGTATCCATACACTGTTTAAGCCAAAAATAATAAAGAAAACTAAGGAAGAACAACAAAAACACTAACAAATATAATATTATAAACTCTTTGAAATCAATTATTAAAGCAATAAAGAAACTTCCTTTTTATTAAAAACAAAAAAAAAGAATACAAAAAAAAATATCAAAAAGTGTCCTAGTAATCAAGTGTACTATTGTTAATTCTCACTGCATTGCTTTCTATCAAAGTGAATAAAAAAAAAATTTTTTTTGTCCCCTTTTATAATATTATTTTTAAATTTATCAATTTAAAAATTTTTAAATTTTCTCTATAAAAAGAATTTCTATAATATATTTTTTTTTGTTTTCCTCGTTATAAATTATGAAAGAAACATAGTCCCAATGGTAATACATGTCTGAGCATTGGTTCATATATCAATTTCAACCAAACTCCCTTCACATACAATTCAACATTCAAAAAAAAAATAAAATTTGCAGAATAACATAACAGGTGTAAAATTTTAATGTTACAAATTGATATATTAAGAATAAGAGGGAACAATAACGAAAGTATTACTGTTTACTGTTATGGCAGTAGCTTGTTTCAACAAAATAAAAAAAAATGTTGATAATACATGCAAAACAAAAAAATGTTGATAATACATGCATGATATTACTCTCTAAATAACAGATTTTGAATTCAATATTTATTTTGCTCTCAACTTGCAGCTAAACTTCTGTTTACATTTGTTATTGTTTTAATGAAATTAGTATATTTTTGGTATTATCATATTAATTTCTCTAAGGATATTACACTGTTTTTTTTCTTTTTTTTTTACTGCCAAAAGAACACAGTATTAATATTAATTCCCTTTTTGCTCTTTAAATGTCCTGATAGACTTAAGAATATTGTATACAATATAATATTAGTGTCGTGCAAGCAATAGATTATAATAAAATGAAATAAAGCAGTTGGTTCTCATTGCGTGTGCAGAAAAACAGCGCGAAAAATATATACTTACTATTATTATCCTTTAAATGTAGATGTGAGAGAGATGTGTATATGTATTATGTTTCAGTAACATTTTATAGGTTTTTTTTTTTGAAATTTAAATAATTTTTTACTCTAGTGAAATAAGTGTTATACTAAAAATTTATATTCAATCAGAGTATAATATTCGTCAATGTCTATTTACATTGTTATCACTTATCATGATGTAAGCGCTATTTTTTGTTTAAATATTTTGTGTTATTTATTGGGTATGCTAAAATTAAGAAAGAAATCATAGTTAAATTATCAGTAGGAATTGATTTTCAGTTCAAATTCTATTTAGACTTATAATCTATAAATGAGTGAATTATTTAAAAAAAAAACATTATTTTAAAGTAAAATTTTTAAAATTTTTTTTGGAAAAATTAAAAATTTTTAGTGTAAAGTTTTTTTTTAAGAAATTTTGAAAAAAAAATCTCATTTATACTTCATTTATAATTCGTATGATTTTAAATAATATTAGTTGTAAAATAAAAACTATAACTTCTCTATGTATTCTAACCTGACCCAATAAATAATCTTTTACGTAATTATTATGTTAATTGTAAAGATTAATGAAATATTTAGAAATTAAAATCCTTTATTGAGTAATGCATAAGGATTTCATAATTATTAATTCATATGCATTAATTCATAAATAACAAAAGGACTTTCGAAGCACTTCTTCATCTAATCTAATAATTACAAATATTTCTCTAAGTCTAAATGCATATACAACTGAAAGTTCAATAGGATTAATTAAAGCTATATAACTATGTATTAATCTTTCCCTATATTAGAAAAATCAGGCAATAAAAAATTTCATTTTAAACTGATTAAAAAATTTGTTCAATTAAAAGCTAAGAAAGAAAGCCGAAAATAATCAACCGAAGATCTTTAAAAGCATCTATTCATGTACATTTATATATATGGAAATCGAAAACGGAAACAATAAAACTATATGAGAGAAAAATTTAGGATAACGATAAAAAACAAAATAATTGATTAGAAAATTTTTTAATCAAAAGATTTCTTTCGCGTGGTTTCTAACTTATTTCTAACCTAGTAATCTGAATGCAAAATTTATTAAGAAATTTGTGTGAAAAAGCAAATAATTTGTGTGTATATGTAATGTGTATTTTATTTGATGTTTTCTGAGAAAAATTTTTATTATTTCAATTGAATATTTCAATTAATTTTCACAGGATATTGAATTTTCTATGAAGTCAATATGTATATCGATTTTATTTGTATGGTATGTACATAATGTTCAAAATATTTAAATTTTAAAGTAGTTTTGCTTAATTCCAAAAATGAATTTTAGCTAATTTAAAATTCAATTGTAAATTTTTAGATGAAATTAATGAAAATTTTTATTGAAATTATTTGAAAAGTTTTCTACAAGTCTATTTTGCTTTAATAATACATTAAATTACAAATTTAAATTCAATCTTACATTATACCGCAGGTACATGTAAAAAAATGCAGGACTGTTGGATGAAGTAAGTTTAAAGCCATCTCGATATATGAGTTACAACCCGGAGTACTTTAAAATCAAGTAAAAAATTAACTTCTATTTACTACATTTATGTAAATTACTTTGGAATTAATTTACCGTTATTAACCGTTTCGATTGGGTCAGAGTACAATTTCACAAAATTTATAAGATAATAATTGTCAGCTAGTTTATGATTCGATCATTCAAAATTTAAAAAATTTCAAATGCAAATTAAAATGTTTAACAAGGAGGAAATATTCAAAATTTCAATTCGTTAAATTGCAGTGAATAAGGACAGTTAACAGCAATTATAGTGAAATTTTGAAGCTATACTAAGAACGACAAGGTATATGATCGGTTTCACATAATATGTCTATGTTATTATAATTCAAGCTTCCCAAGTAACTTTAATTTTAAATATTATAATTTACCATTTTAGGTCAGCTCATTATGTGGCCGGATTTTTAATGTTCAGATTAAAATGAAACTCAAATCATAGAAGCACTTAATATTACTTCTCCGTGTTTAACAAAACTGTGGTATTTCCATAAACAAGTACAAATAAATCATACCACCTAAATATTTGGAGATCTATAAAATATATGAAGTGTTAATCTTCTTACAGTTTTATGAAGCAAAAATAACGCCATTTTTCCAAAGTTTTCAATTTAAAACTAAAATAATTGTAGAGATAAGAAAATATTTGCATATTATATAAGTATAGTTAGATATATTGACGTGTAACGAAACTTTAAAATTTTCAAATATAGTCAAAAATTAATTCTTGTTCATCGCAAGTAAAATTTGTAGAAAAAAGTAGAAGTACGTAGGAAATAGAAAAAAATCAAAAGATTATAGAAAAAAAAAATTCTAAAAGTTTTAAAATTTTCTTTGCAAATTTTGTAAATTTCCTGTTACATATGTAACGCAATATATCTCACAGGGAGTATATACCAAACTTTTAGATTTCAAGAAAACTTAGTGAGTATTAAAATTAGCATAATTTTTCATCTATTGTAGTAAAATTTTTTGATTTCACAAAAAAGTTACTAAAATTTTAGATAATAAAATTTATAAGTTTCTTAAAAAAAAAAAGTTAATTTTTTCTTTCACATTACAATTTTTAAATTATTCAATATAAAACAAGAAATGTGCCAAATAATATAGGAGTAACTAAGTAAGAAGGCGTTAATCTTGATAATTCTTTAACTTAGGTATGTTCCAATTCTCTTGAGGTTAATAATTTTCACCTCTTTATAAATTATAATTTAAAATATTAGGTGTGCTTATTCCAGACCCCTCTCTTAATAATTTTTAAAAGTTTTAATCATATATTTTTTCTTATTTATCCTTACATACTTAATAACAATCTACTTAATACTTTTCTATTACAGGATTAATATATTACTATAGGTCATTGATCCTACGTATTCCAAGTACGATATAACGAAAAGTATGATAAAAAATTATGTTATTTTTGAAAAATTTTTGGTGGTATTATGAAAAAATGTTTTAATTTAGAGTTTGAATATCTGGATTAAAAGTCTAATGGCTGGAGAATATTAGGAACTTTGTTATTTATTGACTTATGGCAGTTAGAGAATAATATAATGGAGTTGATGTAATTTCTCAATCACACGCACTGGATCTATAAAACGTAGTTAATATTTATTACAGGGAGTATGTCATCAAATCGACCCCTTTTGTTGACATGTAAATTGATAACCAGCTAAAATTTTATGAAATTTATTCTTATATCGTCAATTTTAAATACATTTATTTCACACACAAAAATTTTGATAGTAGCAAAATTATACATTCCAATTAACAATGCAATAGCAGATATTTTGTCGGAGAAAGAGTTTTTCAACTTTTATAAAAATTTCACGGAAATGAGTCCCATACGTGAAATTCATTAGGGCAATTTTTCAGAAGTTAAAAATTTTTCGAATGTCTTCCCAGTTCATAGTTCACAACACCATTCCGATGATATACCAGGAAGTTTAATAATTTAGCAAGCAGTAACGTTTATAAATCTTGTGGAAAAATGAGGAAAACTGCATTACATCTTCTAAGATAGTTTTGAAACTCTTCAGAATAATAAAGGAAACGTTGGATAAATATACGCCAAATGTTGTGGAATTTCAATCGATTTAGATTAGTTCTTTGTTTTCACTCATAGGTGTCTAGTACATAGGTGGCGAGAAAAATATATTCAGTTGCTTCATAGAATTTTACCATTTATTATTATCTTCAATTTTATATTATAATAAAATATAATTGGTTAATCCCGCACAAAAGTATGGCACTAATTTAATGTGACAGCAACTTGAATCACTATCTAAATTTAAATAAATTATAATAGTCATTGTTTTTCTAAAAAAAAAAAATAACCTGATGGCTTAATAACATTTCACTTAATAAATGCCCTTAATGTGCTTATTATCCTTTTTCCAACATTTTTAAATTGTACACAAATTTAACTTTTTTCCTATGAAAATCGTTTTCGGAAGTGAAAAATTTGTTTTTTTTTTTGCAAAAGAAAATATTTTACTTGAAATTTTCTTATTTATTTGAAATCCTGATAAAGTAAATTTTTTTCATTTTTTTTTCATCTCATTTTTAAATAAATAAATGTAATTCTAAAAGTCCTTTGATCTTTTAATGTAGTTACTAAGTTAAAAAATTTGATGTGATCAGCGTATAACCGACCTCAATTTGTATTGTCTAATTTATCGAAAAGTGTTACAGAAAATACTTCTTTCCAATTTTAAGGGTGCTAGTAAGCATTTAGTTGACGTACCTAGAAAAATGTAAATTTGCCTCTATGATATACGTGTCTTCTGAAAAGTTAGATTCTATTATAACCAGAACTCAAATATTAGATCTTAAGAAATTTCGTGAATTTGTTCGGCAGGTATAATAAAAATATAAAATCGGCCTCTTGCTCGGTTTCCGAGCCCCAATCTTTTCAAAAAATTTATAGGTTTAAACCTCCGAATTTTACTATTAAATTTCAATAAAATTGGTTTATTATCTTTATATACGCAAAAAATGTAAAATTGCCCCGCAAAAAGGTCAAGTTCTCGACTCCTGCTATATTCAAAGCGTTAGTCAATCTGTGAATTTGGAGAAGTTTACCATAAAGAATAGTGTTCCCATCGAAAACTCGAAATCCGAATTTTGATGCTATTACATGACCTACCTTATTGTACGCAATGCGGTCGGTAAATTAAGAAAAAAACAAACGAAAAAACAAAAAGAAATAAAGATTTGTTCACTTATTTTTTTACCCTTTCAAATATAAATTTGTGACACGGTTTTTCCTCTGTCTTTTTTTTTGCAAAAAAATGCAATTACTTTTTTGTCTTTAATCCGTAAATTCTTGCATCATAAAGCAATTTTCACTATACCAATAAGAAATTTGTCTTGATTATTAATGTTTGAGAATTTATATTGAAAATTTTCTGTTCATAATTATGAGAGCCTAGTAACAGAAATTTTGTGTTAAGAGAAAAATTTTAAATCAGTAGAAAATTAATGAAATGAACTTTGAATTTTAAGTATTATTAAGGATATTTGACTATATGAATAAGAATTATATAATGGGAGTAAAGAAAATATTTTGTATAATTAATATGCTTTGCATTTTTTTTGCAGAAATGTTAGCAAGTAACAAGAATAAGCAAGAAGCTGGTGAGAATTGTTATGCTATTGATGCATTATAAAACTTAAAATCGCCCGAGACCGCTTGATTTAGTAGAAGATGGGGAAATGTGGACCATTGATTTACAAAATAATGAAAAATTCCATATACTTAAGTAATCTGCATTCCACAACTTCCGTCTGAAATATTCACCCAAAACATTTTGGAAATTTAAAGTAGAAAAATTAAAAACCAAAATTTTTTATCTTAAAAGGGAAAAACCTAACTTTTATTTAATTTTGTAATAAATATTTAAAATAAATTTCAAATTTAATTAATTATATAGAAGTGAGAAAAGTAAATTGGAATTAAATTTTTAGGATTTTTAAGTTAACACTTTTAAAAGCATTTTAATTAACAATTTTTTATAATTTTTCTGATATTTTGGATAAAAACTTTTAAAACTTTAATTTTTCCTAAAATTAATTTTTGTATACCAGAAAAACCATTTATGAATCGCTATGAAAAAAAAAAATACTATTTTCTTCTAATGTTAATTTTTATCTTGTTTTGGATGAAACTATTTATAGCTATAAAAAATATCCTTGAACCGTAATGAAATTTCTATATTGTGTATTTCGAATTTATATACACTTAATGTGAGCTAAACACTATCTTTAATATAGTTAAAGAAAATGTAGGAATAAATATATAGACAGCATCTCATACCCCAACTACAATTCGGATTTTAATATTGAAAGATACTTCCTCAGTCCGTACACTAAATATTCAGTATAGCAACAAATAATTATTTATTTATAATTTAATTTAAATTTCTCAAAAAAAAAAAAAAAAAACAGCACTGAAAATACGCAAACTTTTCAGCTCTTAATTTAAAAAATATTTTAAAATTTTAAAATTTATACATTACTTATTCATTTAGTGGTAGTCTTGTCAGCCCAGAATTTTTTAATAAAAAGTTTAGAAATGGGTGACTTTGGCAAAAGAAAACGAATCTAAGTGTAAAAAAATTGCAAAGTTTTTTGCACCAAACTGAATTCAAAGTTGAGATTTTTATATAAACGTTTTGCCTAGTCTATCCTAGTTTGTAAATAGCTTTTAAATATGAAAGAATCTAACCTGAAATTTCGGGAATTTTAAAAATTAAGAACTGTAATCATTTACAATTGCAGTTTTAAATGTAAATATATATAGAGAGAACCGGATGCCTTATAATTCTTAAATTACTTTTTCATTATAAAATTTTAATTTATTAAAACTGTTATATGACCGACCTCTAATAAAAATTTGTGAATCGTGAAAATTTTACATTTTATAAAAATGAAATTAACAATTTAATATTTTGTCTTATTTGTTATGAATTAAAAATGAATAATTTAAATTTTTTTTTTTAATTCTAAGTTCCCTTTTCTTTTCCTTAATTAGAATTATGTTCATTATGCATTAAATGTCCATATAAATATACAAATACATACATGAGCAATAAATACAGGTGTTTTGCCCCCTTTTAATTCTAATCTAAAAATAAATTAATATGAAAATTTGTTCAACTTGAAAACTTTTTAATCTGGTCTGGACAAAATAATTAAAGATTCATAATATGAAAATAAATTCTAATAAAGTGGCAAGGAAACAATGAAAATAAAGAAATTAAAATTAAAACAAGTAAAAACATTTTAGTTCATCTAAATAAATTCACTGAATTATACCTTGGCTACTTGACAATCTGGATATAAAAGCTTATCTTTAAAATATTTAATATTTGGAGTTGGATGGCAGCTACCTGAACCAGTGCTGTGATTTCATTAAAATTTTCCAAATATACGGAATATACAATTGAACATACATTTCGAAAATTTCATTTCAAAATCTAATAGTTTTTGAATATATTTAAAATAAT